TCCCTCCTTCCTTCTGTCCTTTAACATCTACTTGAACTCCTACAACACGCTAGGCACTGTTCTAGGCACTGGGGACAGGGCGGTGGACACACAATACAGAGACAGGCAACACCCCTGACCTCATGGAACACACATTATTGTGGGCAGAAGGAACTTTTGGAACTACTGAATCTTTGGAGTCTTAAAAATCTTAGAATCTTAGAGCTTAGGTACACAGGAGCACAGGAGAGACCCTTAGATGGTTTTAGAATCTTCTAAAGATACCATTCTCCTGCTCTGCCCTTGTCCCCTACAGTCTGTTTCCCACTTAGCACCCAGAACTCAAATTAGATCCTGTCCTGTGTCTGCTCAAACCCTCCATGACTCAAAATTCACTCAAAGGGAAAGCCAAAGTCTTCACTGTAGCCCATAAGGCCCCAATGGTCTCCCACCCTCTCCCACGCAGTCACTCAGCTCCGGCCACACTGGCCACCAACCACTATTCTTCAAGTGCACCTGGCATACTCCAGCCACAGCACTGGCTAGTCCCGCTGCCTGGATGCTCGCTCCAGAAGGTATCCGCATGACTCCTCTCCCACAGCCTTCAGGTCTTTGCTCAAATGTCACCTGTCCAGTGAGCCCTTCCTTTGGTCACCCTATTTAAAAATGCATTTCTCTGTCACTCACATACTTCCTCTGTCCCATCCCTGTTTATTTTTCTCTCCTAGTAGTCATCATGTAGATTTTTACTTATCTTGTTTATTGTTTTGTTCCCTGCTGTATGTCCAGCGCTCAGCTCAATGCCTGGCACATAGCAGGTGCTCAATAAATGAATGAGTGACTCCAATTATTCAGATGGAAAACCCATGGCTCAGAGATAGAAAGAATGCAGGGACCAGAACCCATGTCTCCACTGTCCAGGCTCTGGCTCTTGCCATGCTATCTGGCTGACTCTAGGCTGGGAGATACCCAGCAGGACAGAGGACAGAAATGGGGTCCTTAGAGACCAAAGGGTGTGATGGCTTGATGAGGAGGCACTTCCTACTAGGTGAGGGCACCAAAGAGGAAGGAGAAAGGAATCATCTATCAATAGTGCCCTCACAAGGTCAATCTTGGCTTCTCTGACTATAAGGGCTCCAAATCCCTTTATTGAGGTAAGGTAGAGGAAATGATTTTGAAGGTCCAAATGTTCTGTTTTTATGAATATTTTTCATAATAGAATACTATTAACAATGTGTCAGATCCTGTTCTGAGTACTTCACACACATTAACTTGTTTAATCTTCAAGTTATAATCACATTTAAAGATGAAGAAATTGAGGCACAGAGAGGTAAAGTCACTTGCTTAAGGTCGCACAGCTGGAAAGTGGTGGACTTGTCAATCTTCTGCGACTTCACCAGCCCTAACCTGACAAGTGCTTTCAAAGCTGAATATGGCACATTAATTTATTCAATTCACTAACTCAACAAAGCTATTTATCAAGTGCTCTCTGTGCCATACCCTGTGTTTCAGGGACACAGAATGAATTAGGCAGTCACTGAGCAGGCCCTCCAGAGGTAGGAAGACAGATAAAAACTACACAAACAACTTATATTATAGATGGGGCAAGAAACCAGCAGGGGGAGGGGGTGGTGGGGGGGGTGGCAGAAAAAAAACAGGACTTCCTTTAGAAAAGGTAGTCAGGGAAGGAGAAGACAGTTAAGCCAAGGCTTTGTCTCTCCATCCCCCACAAAACAATGTAAATAGATCTAGACTCATTTCAGGCCTGGGTTCACCTGGCCTGAGCTCTGATCTAGCCTGAGTCTCAACTGTTGAAACCTGTAGGATGGAAATGTGATGGGTAGATATGTGGGAAAGTCTTTGGGCATGAGGAAAGGGCAGTGTCCATATGAGGGCTGTTGACACTGAGGGACTTCTTACCTCCTACGTTGCAGGCTGGCGGAGCTCCAGGGAGGTGGTTCCAGCCCAGCTCAGCTGTACTGCTGAGGGAAGGAGAACCAGAAAACCCCAAATCAACCAATTTTGCACAATAGAGTAAAATTTCATCTCACCTACAAAAATGGCAGTGAGAAGGAAGGTCAAGGAATCATTTCTCTTGAAGTCCTTTAACCTGGACCATTTCAGGAACAGGTGGAAAGGATATCAGTTATCATAGCAACCTATAACCATTCCTCTCTCATAAATATGTCCAGAAAGGTAGGGCTAGAAGTGACAAGCTGTTACCATGACAACCCCTTCCCTTTACACACTCCATCCAGAGACAAAATCCTAAAACCGTTTCCTACCTTGGTGGGTCTGGTAACTAGGGTCACTGGAAAGGGGGACTACCTTCTGTTACCATAGTAACCAGGACTTAGCCTTGCAGGTTTCTTACATCCCTGGGGATGGTCAGGCCCTGTAACCATAGCAACTACTCCTCAGCAGAGCATCTCCTCCTTTAAATACCTAGTTGGTTTGGTCCACGGACCTCCCACCATAGGAAAGGAGGGGAGGTGGTTACCACGGTAATGCCAACTGGGTGGCTGGGGGAAGGGGTTGGGAAAGAGGTATTTCCCTCAATAATCAGTGTCCCTGGGGCTGGGATTCTTTCTACCTGAGTGTTAGGTGAGGTTGTCATAGTAAGCAATGAGGGTAGGGGCAGAAGGATCACCAGGGACTTAGGTTACCTTAGCAACCTCCTCCTGGTGCAGGGACAGGAGAGGTTTGAGGCTCCATAGCCACAAAGGTAGAGGGGAGGGCCGGCTGGGGGTGTTCTAGGCTAGGGAAGGGTTACCATGACAACCGACCTCTGCCAGGAATCAGAGAGGATGGAGCCATGGCTGAAACCACTCCTGGTGGTCGCCCTTTCTCTCAGAGAGTTACAGTGATGCTCGAGGAGAGTGGTATTTGGGTCTGGAGAGGGTTAGAATCTTTCTTTGGAGCGAAGCGGGAGGAGGGGGGCAGAAAGCAAAGCACTCTCAAAAAAAGTCCCGCTCTCCCCAGGGACGACCCTAGCGCAAGGCCTGGGTCCAGTTTGTCGTCCTCGGGGGGCGCGCCCCCGCCCCGCCCCTTCCCGCGCCCCCCCCCCGCGCGCGCCTTCGGGGTTGACCCGGGTGGGCGAGGCGCGCGCCCGTCCTCCGTCCCGTCCCTGCCACCCCCCCCNAAAAAAAAAAAGAATGAGTTGAGCCTCAACTTATGCTCCTGGCAAAAAGTTAAAGAAATACGTATCTATAGATAGATGATTTTGATTATTTGCAATTTAAAGAAATATTTCAAAAATTGGATGCATATATTGATTTATATATTCATTTATATTACTATACTCATTGCAGAATATTTTTTTGTAAAGATTTTATTGGAGAATTGGGGGAGGGGAACAGCCAAGTTGTTGTCCTTTAATCTTAGCTGTGAACGGCGCAGCAAGCTCAGCTCCAAGTTCAGTAGCGCTGCTCAGCTCAAGGTGCCGTGTTCAATTAGTTGCAGGTGGGCATAGCCACCATCCCACGTGGGAGTTGAACCAGTAGGCTCATTGATAAGAGCGCACACTCTATCCACTGAGCTATCCGAGCTCCACTGAGCTATCCGAGCAGCAGCTCAGCTCAAGGTGCCGAGTTCAGTCTTAGTTGTGGGCAGGTATAGCCCACCATCTCCAACAGGTAACCTTGTTGTTAGGAGTATGTGCTCTCACCAGCTGAGCCATCCTGCCACCTGTTGGCAGCTCAGCTCAGGTGCAGCTTATTGGCTTATATAGGAATCAAACCAGCAACCCTGTTGCTCAGAGCTGGCACTATTCTTTTTTTTTTTTTAGCTGAGCCATCCTGTCTCCTGTTGGTAGCTCAGCGGTTGCTCAGCTTGGGCCGGGACTCGAACTGCTGTTGTTCAGAGCTCAAACTCTTGAGTGAGCTCTTAACCAACTGAGCCACTCAGCCGGCCCAAAGCTGGCACTCTTGAGCAAGCTCTTAACCAACTGAGCCACTTGGCCGGCCCCACACTGCAGAATATTTTGAACATCACTTGTCCTTCATGAATGTCCAAGGGAACATTTTAAAACCGTATGTGACAAGGGACACTTCTTTGTGTGCCCTGCATATAAGACATCTCCATCCCTGAGCCATGCTTTCCAAGAACCAAGAGCACCACTAGACCACAGTGATAGCCCAAATCATCCCCATGTTTCCAGAATGCTCCATGGGAACCTGACAGTCTCTTTGTGAGCCATTTGTGGGTTCAGTGGCTAAAAACAGGCTGCATTATAAGAAGTCAGGCTTTGGACACCTGAGACTCAGTGGATTAGGCCAAATTTGCATACTTGTCTGCTCTTGCTTGTCTGTGAAACCTTTTCCTGTAAAGGTTTTACGTTTCAATCCTCCCACCCAATATATAGGTTCAGAGAGACAGCCACTTGCCTAAGGTCACCAGGTTAGGACCTACAAAGAAAGCAGGTGATCCTGCCAGGATCCAAACCCAGCCCTGACTCCTGACCCTTTTACCACTCAAGTGCCTCACAGCATCCCTGTGTGGTGAGCGCTCTTATCATCCCCATTGCCCAGGTGCAAAGCTGAGGTGCAGAGGCAGACTCACAGTGGGTTTGGCTCATGAGGGAGAAAGCAGAAGCGCTGGGGTTTCAACACAGGCCTCTCCCACTTCAAAGCCTGTTGCTTCAAAACCAGGTGCACACACCCAGGGGGTGTGCGGGCCAAACCGTTGGGTTGAGGCAAGTAAACAAAAACTTTTATATTTATTTTTAATTTAAACATGGAATAATTTAAGCCTTATTACTAATACACAGCATGATAGTAGTACCTGTATAGAATTTATAAATAAATACACATATTGAGGGTACATGCCCAAACAATATTTACTCTTAGGTGCAGAATCTCAAAAGGAAGGCTGCCATCACTCTGCCTACTAAGTGGTAAGGGCCCTCTTCAGTACCAGTATTAGAAAGGGGCACTGTGGGTCACTTCAGTGTGGGCTCTAGACTGACAGTCTGGGTTTAAGCTCCCACTCTGCCACTTCACAAATGGCAAGTGATTTTACGATTCTGGTCTCAGTTTTCTCCTCTGTAAAATGGAAATAATAGAAGCTCTCATCTGAGAGAATAGAGGCAGGGGTAAATCAGTTAATTCATGTGAAACACTGAGAATGATGCCTGGTACACAGTAAGTGCTCAGTAAATGTCAGCTATGGTTATTTACTCTGCCTTGCAAGCAGAGAAACAGGTGCAGAGAGCTAAAATAATGAGGTAACACAGTTAATAAGGAGGGGGGCCCCAATCCAGAACCCCAGTCGTAACCACAGCCACACTTCAGAGCTGAGTCCTTTTCCTCCTCTGCAAGATGAGGTTAAGAGCAGCATGCACCTCACAGGGCTCTCCCAGGAGGGAAGGAGGTCGCATTCCTGAAGAAGGGGTGATGGTCATCCTATTGGGCGGGGCACAGGGGTTCAGGCAGAATACCAAAGGCTCAATAGCTGTAAAAGCTATGGAGCATAGGTCCTGGGGCCGACTCGCCTTCGCTCTACGGTAAGACAAAGGCGCCCTCTAGTGGTAGAAGCAACCGTAGCAGCCAACTGTCCTGGTGTTCTTACGTGATAGACACTGAATCCTGGAGGAAACTGAGGCAGAGAAACAGGAACACTCGCCCAGGGCCACCTAACTATGAAGTGTTAGAGCCGGGGATTGAATCACGGCAGTCCGGCCCCAGAATCTATACTTTCTCCCTCTCTTTCCAAAACTCTGTCCCAGCACTGGCACCCAGGGCAGGGAATGGTTTTGATGTCGCGAATTGTGTTGGGCCCTGAGGGGCGGCTTGGCATCCCTGGCCCGCCCACCAAATGCCAGCAGCACCAAGACAGAGTATGGTTCCCCTGACCCCAGGCGCGGGAGTCAAGGCTTCAGCCGCTTCCTGACAAACTCAGGAGTGCCGGGTTGGGGTACTCGGGGTTCTCGATGACCCCGGGGCCAAACTTGAGCTCCAGGAAGCGGCGGTAGTTGTTAGGCGCCTGCGCCACGAAGCCTGCAAAGGGCAGGGGCACGAGAGGCTGCAGGAAGTGTTCCGGGAACTCGACATCCTGCCGGTGGTCCAGCCACGTGTCCTTGGTCATGACCCCGTTGCGGGGATAAAAGGGCCACAGGTCCACGTGCAGGTGGTTGCTCTCGCTGTACTGCACGCGGAAGAAGTCGCCCTCTATGGCCTTCTCCCACACGAAGCCGCGCTCATCCACCACAGAGCCTGCCTCAGCCCCCCGCAGCTGCTCGCAGTTGCCCACATCCTCCAGGTAGATGCCCAGGTCCACATCATAGTCCCATGGGATGATGTCCCCATGGCGTGCTGCCCCCAGCAGCGAGCCGCCCTCAAGCCAGTAGCGCACGCCAGCCGCCTCCAGCACACCCACCACGTAACGAGCGGTCTCACGCAATGCGCGCAAGCAGCACGGAGGCGTCCAGCGCCCCTCGTACAGATAGGCTGGCGTGTCACCCACCACCGTCCCGAAGCAGCGCGGGGTCTCCTTGCTGCAGCCGAACCACTCGAGGCGCCCACCCTGCCAGCTCACCAGGCGGATGCCCAGCGCCCGCAGCAGCGCCGCCCGCCGCGCGCGCCCTTCACGCTCCGCCTTCCAGCGTGCGTGGGCCGTGGCCAGAGGAGGCTGGCGCACCGCTGGGAAAGTCAAGTCCAGCAGCTGCACTGCCCAGCCTCGCAGGGCAGTCTGCAGGAAGAGGCCAGTGCCCACGGGCCGGGCGAGGGGCGCTGAGAGGTTGAAGAGATCCCGGGCGCGCAGGAGCACCACAGCATCCCCATCTAGGGCGTCGCAGCGGGGTGCAGAGGGGGCCAGGCTGTAGTGGGCTGTCCACTCTCTCAGGCTGACGTTCAGGGCCAGGCACCGGGCAGGGTTAGCTGAGGCGACCCGCGCAGCCACCAGGCGTGCACCTCCTGTCCGGAGCACCTCCACCATGCGCTCCAGCTGACCTGGTGCCTGGGCCCTTGCCCCGTCGGGCACCAGGGCCACGTACTCAGTGGCCACGTAGGTCTCGGGGCGCGAGGCTGCGGCAGGCCGGTCCAGAGCAGGCTGCAGCAGCGCCAGGCGAACATTGGGGATGTGGGGCAGGGCCAGGGGTGGGTACGGGAGTGTGTCGGCTGCCACCACCACCGGCTGGGCTGGGTCCTGTTGCAGGAAGGAATCCACCATCTCAGGCACCGCATTGTCAAAGACCTCGAACTCCCGCACCAGGATGGTGACGTGGGGGACGGTAGATCCGCGGCGGGGACTCCGGGCCCGGGAGTTCCTGGGCTGGTGCTGCAGCCACGAGACATAGAAGAGGACCAGGAGGTTGAGGGTGATGGCGGCTGCCAGGGCAGCCTGGCAGCGGGTGAGCCGCATGGGGCCAAAGTCAAGCCCTAGCTGGGCCTCCGGGGCATCCTGGGGAGGGGGGAATGAAAGAGGAGGCTGGAGCTGGTTGCCAGCAACACCCCCTCAACCCATCTTCAGCCTTGCCCTCGGCACCCAGTCTTTTCCCTTGGTTTCAGCTCTGACTTCCCCTCCTCCAGGTAGCCCTCCCTGACCTACCAGGCTGGCCTTGCACCCCCAACCTCTGGGCTCCTTCAGCCCCCTGGGTTGCCCCACTATTCTGTCATTACTGCCTAGGGTCTAGTCTGTGTCTTCCCACTGGATTGTGAGACCCATGAGGGCAGGTCCTGAGCCTGTCTTGGTCACTGNTTTTTTTTTTTTTTTTTAGCTGAGCCCTGTCACCTGTTGGCAACTCAGCGGCAGCTCAGCTCAGGCCGGGAATCAAACCGCTGTTGCTCAAAGCTTGCACCCCTGAGCAAGCTCTTAACCAACTGAGCCACTTGGCTGGCCTGGCACACAAATCTTCATAGCTGCTCTCTTTGTAACTGCCAAAATTTGGAAAAGAATCACGAATAAACTGGTACAATCATACCATAGAAGGCTACTCAGCAAAAAAAAAAAAAAAAGCCAAGCATTGATAAGCAGCTGAGCCTTGAACAACATAGGTTTGAATTGTGCAGGTCCACTTGTACATGGATTTTTTTATAAACACCTGTTTTCGACCTGGTTGGGAGTCTGGATGTGGAGGGCTGACTGTATGCATCGATCTGTGCTATTTTATACAAGGGACTTGAGCATCTATAGATTTTGTTATCCACAGGGTCCTGGAACCAGTCGCCGTGGATACTAAGGGACAATTTAAGTTTTGGGGGAGTCAAAAATTTAACACGGATTTTTTACTATGGGGGGCTTGATGCCCCAACCCCTATATGTTCAAGGGTCAACTGTACTCAATTCAGATGTATCTCACAGGTAACATTTTGAGTGAAAGAAATCAGAAGCTGTACATATTATATAGTTCCATTTACGTGAAGGCCTAGAACAGCCTAAACTGGTCTCTGGTGAGAGAAGTCAGAGTAGTGGTGACCTATGAGGATGCTTATTGCCTGGGAGAGGGCATGAGGGAACCTTCTATGGTACAGCAAATATCCTGTCTTGATATGGGTGATGCTTACAGGTGTCAACATTTGGAAAAATTAACCTGTACACTTAAGATGTGTGTGTGTGTGTTTTTTTTAAATTTTATTGAGACACTTTTTCCAGGACCCATCAGCTCCAAGTCAAGTAGTTGTTTCAATCTAGTTGTGGAGGGAGCAATTCAGCGACCTATGTGGGAATCGAACCTGCAACCCTGGTGTCTTGAGCACTGCACTCTAACCAACTGAGCCAAACAGCCTCCCCCAAGATGTGTGCATTTTGCCCTATGTATATTCCAGTTAATTTTGTACAACTCGTGGTAAGAAATTCACTTTTTATTGTAACCATCTACATAAGAATGTCGTAGGTCTCCCTCAATATCTGAACCCCGACTCTGCAAATAGTCTCAATAATGACTTGCTGTCTTTTTCTTTTAACCCAAAATTCACCATTTGGATCAAAAGTCAGCTATGCAACTGTTTTAAGTACTTTTGAGTCCAGGATGTAGACGACACCGGCTGCAGGTCACCCGTTCTAGCAGGACTCCCATCTTGTGCGCTGTTAAAGTGTATTATACGTTACTGATGTTATATCTTCCTAAGTCCCTTTGTAGACATCTGCCAGGTCCCTGGAGGCACCACCAACAGGGGTGCAGTAGTGGTATTTTGATTATCTTTAGCATCTTTTTTAGGTTTAGTTACATCTCATGACCGTTGCAGTGTGGAAATAGAATTCATCTGATTCTGTGCAAAATTGCATAGTGCATACAAACATAGCCACTAATGAGTTCATTAAGTGTTGAATAGTTAAGTAATTGGTGTTTTCAATGCTTTCTATTACACCGAAACCCTTGGTGGGTTTTATAGAAATGTTTAGTAGGAGTGTTTTAATCATATTTGGGGAAATTTGTTGGGGTTTTTGGACGGAGCTGGGAGTGCATTATCCCCCTGTCCCCACCCTCAACCCCGCTTAAAATCATTCTTTATCCCCAAATTTTCTATGTAATCCTTTTTGGGGATCGATTAGATTTAGATTATGAGGGATGCCTGTTTAAAGTGGTACATACCTACATACGTAATATATTGAATGTAATATATACAACATGTGCACATACAAAGAATAGGTAACTGGGCCAAGTTCCACCAAACGGTACTTAGCCATAGTTTTCTGTTCCTTGTTTAAAATTTGCTGAACAGATGCCACTAATTTGTCTAATCTAGGTCACATAGGACTGGAACCATCGCAAGCCTCCTCAGTGTGGACAGGGGCTTAGCTGGCTCCCAGACCTGGTCCCCACTAAGAGGTGTGCTCCATGAGGGAGTGGCCTTAGTCTTGTTCACTGCTGTATGCCCGGACCACAGCGTAGGACATGGCACATAGTAGGTACTCAATAAATCTTTGCAGAATGAATGAATTGGGCTCCAGCTACAGAGCGGCCTGATGGAAAGAGGCTGTTACCCTGGTTCAGATCCAGCTTCTGCCACCTGCCAGCTATGTGACCTTGGGCAAACACTGCCAAGTCTCACACTCTGGTGACAATGGCTGTTATGCCTCACCCAAAGGCCTCTGATGAAGGTTACATAAGAAGAAGAAAAGGGCCGGCCGAGTGGCGCGTTGGTTAAGAACTGGCTTGGGACGTCAGAGGGCCCCAGTTCAGATCCCACA